GAGGAACACCACAGAGACAAGCGGTCAGAACCGCAACAATCGCAACCGCAACCGGAGAACTCATTAACTTCATTAACACCGACATAAAATATAAATCCTATCATTCACTGCCACTCCTCTCCTGTTAAAACGCTCAGCAGGGCTGGAGGAGGTGCAGCTGGTAAATGAGAGCCTGCCCTAATGATGAGCATTGTGATTGGTCCGCTACTATTTCTGATTGGTCCGCTGCTGTTTCTGATTGGTCCACTGCTCTTTCTGATTGGTCCACTGTTGTTGGTGTATAGCGATGCGGTTCCGGTATCCCAGAGGACACTAGTGTGTATTACAGTCATACTAGCGGACAAAATCATATGGATATGCGACATAGACGAATCCATTTGGACCGGTTTCACCGACAAGGCTTACCGGCATATTAAGCCACGAGTAAACACAAGCACCTGCCAATAACTTTCAACTATATTGTGGTTTTCTGAGCTTTCGGGTATCATCTGCTGCTTGTGTCAAGCTTGTGTCTAACTTTCCATTTTTTCGGCTCCTAGTAAATAATAAAAAAGTAAAAACATTTTGTTTTAAACAAGGACCCTTTAAGTGTTCAGGCTGGTAAGTTCATGTACCCCAAAAAAATATCCGTTGAAATATAGAAGTTTCTTTCTATGTGAAAAGTATTTCTGAGCCATGGGGTGCAGTACCACCCTTATCCGCTATGGGGTGCAGTACCACCCTTATCCGCTATGGGGTGCAGTACCACCCTTATCCGCTATGGGGTGCAGTACCACCCTTATCCGCTATGGGGTGCAGTACCACCCTTATCCGCTATGGGGTGCAGTACCACCCTTATCCACTATGGGGTGCAGTACCACCCTTATCCGCTATGGGGTGCAGTACCACCCTTATCCGCTATGGGGTGCAGTACCACCCTTATCCACTATGGGGTGCAGTACCACCCTTATCCGCTATGGGGTGCAGTACCACCCTTATCCGCTATGGGGTGCAGTACCACCCTTATCCGCTATGGGGTGCAGTACCACCCTTATCCACTATGGGGTGCAGTACCACCCTTATCCGCTATGGGGTGCAGTACCACCCTTATCCGCTATGGGGTGCAGTACCACCCTTATCCACTATGGGGTGCAGTACCAACCGTATCCGTTATGGGGTGCAGTACCACCCTTATCCGCTATGGGGTGCAGTACCACCCTTATCCGCTATGGGGTGCAGTACCACCCTTATCCACTATGGGGTGCAGTACCACCCTTATCCGCTATGGGGTGCAGTACCACCCTTATCCGCTATGGGGTGCAGTACCACCCTTATCCACTATGGGGTGCAGTACCACCCTTATCCGCCATGGGGTGCAGTACCACTTATCCGCCAAGCCCATGGTGGTTTTTAAAAATGGCGTCCATCCTGGGTGCTTGCTGTGAAGAGTTTTGTTTGGGGAAAGGTCATGGAAAGTTGGCAGGAGCAGTGGGATAGGGGGGAGAAGGGGAGACATCTCTACCGGGTCCAGAGGGAGGTTGGGAGGAAGCGGATGCTAGGGGGTGGAAGGAGGGAAGGGACCATTTACACTAGGCTTAGAATAGGGCACTGTAGGCTGAATGGTTCATTACATAGGATAGGGAAGCACCCAACAGGCATGTGTGAGTACTGTGAGAATGAAGAGACTGTAGAGCAGGGCTATTCAATTACAAATTCAGTTGGGCCAGATTTTCAAATCGAGGAAGGTTAGTTGGGCCAGTCATTTCAGCGGCGAAGCAGCTCATAATGACAAATTTTAAAAACCAACACAAACAAATTTATTGAAAAACATGTAAGGTTTATTCATTGTTTCTCTTTTAACTTTGGTCAGTTTGCACAGCAAAAGGTGCATAGAATTTTAAGTTTCAGTGTTGAGACATATTGATAGTAATGTAGGCTACTACCGGCACAGCACGCTCTGCATTGTTTACATGTTGGTAGTTTTGGCGGGACGCAAAATTACCAATCCCACTATGGCCACGCCAAGACCCGCCCCACGAAGCAGTCAGGGGATAGGACCTGTAGATGGACACCTGGCCAATAGTAGTGTGTGAATGCTATTGAAGGGCGGGTCTTGGCGTGGCCATAGTGGGGGAAAAAATATCGCTGGCGGGACCGCATGTGGCCCGCGGGCCGCCATTTGAAGAGCCCTGTAGAGCATGTGTTGCTGCACTGTAGGCACTATGTGAGGGAGAGGGAGTGTATGAGGGAGAGTTTGAGGGAATGTGGTATATTAGAGATTACACTGGTTAACTTGCTTGGGGGGACAGAGGTGGATCGCAGGTTTGACATTTTGTTTTCTTTTTTGAGGGACACGGGGTTGGAGGGTAGGGTGTAGGTCGGTCCTGGCTCTGGCCCACACTCCAGCATGGTAGGTGGCGGTAATGCACCATTAAAGTTGGATGCCAGCCGCCGGTAAACACCAAAGAAGAAGAAGGTGCTTGCTGTGAACAAATCAAACGCACCTTTCTGCAAGGAATTCTGGGAAAGTCTTCAAAAATGGCGGATGAAGTTGAGCAGGTTGGCGTTGACGGTTTAATTAATGTTTGATGTATATCTTTTTCTATGCAAAACTAGTAGAATAATTGAAATCCATGTTTTGTAAGCCGATGCAACCCATTACTAATATTATTATTACTAATGGCATTAGGACATTAATTATGGAGGAAACAGTGGTAATCAGTTACTAGCTAACTAGTTAGCATCATGATCAGCTTGTAGTCAATTCGCGCATCAAACAGATAAACATAATTATTATATACAAACATAATATATGCAAACATAATATATACAAACATAATATACAAGTCGTTTGCTAATAGTGTTAATTGGGTATCTAATGACGTGTGACACGTTTGGTAACACTTAAATGTGGTTGTAAACTGACGACCTGTTTTATGTTCAATAATTAGGTGGCTTCATTAATTTAGTGTGTAATTATGTGCTGACTGTATTAGGGTTTGGACATCTGGTTGGCCATGTGGCTTAGGATCTGGTTTACTACCAAATCACCGGTCTTATTCGGTGTAATACTTATTTTGATGCGACTTTGAGATTTTTATTGTATTTGCACATTTGGAAACTAAATATAAATGGCCGTCTTGCTGGAATTAGATAGTTGTTCTGATGGAATAATTTTCTTGAGCATTTCGGGTTAACAACTAGTTCAGGGACAAAATAACTGAGTTTTATTTTACTTTCTTCATGGATTTGATCTTGAAACGTACTGTTCAGCATTAAATCTGTTATGACTCATTTCTGTTCTTTTGTTTTAGCAAACTACCACCAACACGGTGGAGGAACCCCTGGATCTGATCCGGCTCAGTTTAGATGAGAGGATATATGTAAAGATGAGGAATGACAGAGAACTCAGGGGCAGATTGCATGTAAGTAATGGCTAACCCTAAACTCATAGCGGTCCTCCAGAACCATTACCTGTTAAACCCTAAACTCATAGTGGTCCTCCAGAACCATTACCTGTTAAACCCTAAACTCATAGCGGTCCTCCAGAACCATTACCTGTTAAACCCTAAACTCATAGCGGTCCTCCAGAACCATTACCTGTTAAACCCTGAACTCATAGCGGTCCTCCAGAACCATTACCTGTTGAACCCTGAACTCATAGTGGTCCTCCAGAACCATTACCTGTTAAACCCTAAACTCATAGCGGTCCTCCAGAACCATTACCTGTTAAACCCTGAACTCATAGCGGTCCTCCAGAACCATTACCTGTTAAACCCTAAACTCATAGCGGTCCTCCAGAACCATTACCTGTTAAACCCTGAACTCATAGCGGTCCTCCAGAACCATTACCTGTTAAACCCTGAACTCATAGCGGTCCTCCAGAACCATTACCTGTTGAACCCTGAACTCATAGCGGTCCTCCAGAACCATTACCTGTTAAACCCTGAACTCATAGCGGTCCTCCAAAACCATTACCTGTTAAACCCTGAACTCATAGCGGTCCTCCAGAACCATTACCTGTTGAACCCTGAACTCATAGCGGTCCTCCAGAACCATTACCTGTTAAACCCTGAACTCATAGCGGTCCTCCAGAACCATTACCTGTTAAACCCTGAACTCATAGCGGTCCTCCAGAACCATTACCTGTTAAACCCTGAACTCGTAGCGGTCCTCCAGAACCATTACCTGTTAAACCCTGAACTCATAGCGGTCCTCCAGAACCATTACCTGTTAAACCCTGAACTCATAGCGGTCCTCCAGAACCATTACCTGTTAAACCCTGAACTCATAGCGGTCCTCCAGAACCATTACCTGTTAAACCCTGAACTCATAGCGGTCCTCCAGAACCATTACCTGTTAAACCCTGAACTCATAGCGGTCCTCCAGAACCATTACCTGTTAAACCCTGAACTCATAGCGGTCCTCCAGAACCATTACCTGTTGAACCCTGAACTCATAGCGGTCCTCCAGAACCATTACCTGTTGAACCCTGAACTCATAGCGGTCCTCCAGAACCATTACCTATTGAGACCTAGGAACGGACACAAGCAGATGGGAACTGATATCAGCCTTCCTGCCGTGTTTTTTATCCAGGCTTATGATCAGCACTTAAACATGATTCTGGGAGATGTGGAGGAGACTGTGACGACAGTGGAGATAGACGAGGAAACATATGAAGAAATCTATAAGGTATGAAGCACACGATTGTCACATTTTTAATGCTGAAATATGACCTCAAGCTGGAAAAAAACTGTCACATTATTCCTAATTGGTATCATATGAAAACAGAATGTCTTATACAGAGGTAGCTAAGTGTGGTTCATTGTTCTGAGAGACAGAGCTAAAGACAAGCAAGGCTACATGTGTTGTTAGACTTTTTTCTATTCAGAGATCCGTTCAATGGGTCATGTGACTGTGGAGATGGAATGACGTCTGATGGTCTGTCTGATTTTTAATTGAACCTTTATTTAACCAGGTAGGCCGATTGAGAACAATTTCTCATTTGCAACGGCGACTTGGGGAGCAGCTGGGATTTGAACCCAGAGCGCCGCACACACAAAGCATGCACTTTACCACTGAGCTGCTCCATGATCAAATGTGTGTATTGAGACAATCTAATGGAGTGACACACAGAGAAAAGTTAGACAGCAAAAACAGAACCTTTATTTTTAATAAAACAATGGAAAGACTCTTCCCAGTAGTAGGTCAAAACAAATGTCTCAAAGATCATGGAATTAAAAGTGCAAATGTGAAGCTCCGTTATGAGACGAGACACAAATCTTTTTACATGCTTCTTAATTCCTTCATGTGTTCTGTTTTTCAGTCAACAAAGAGAAACATTCCCATGTTGTTTGTCAGAGGTGATGGTGTGGTCCTTGTTGCTCCTCCACTGAGAGTTGGCTAGCGACACGTTAGCAACACGTCGTGGTGATGTTCTGGGAACAACTCGTTTTCACACATTTAAATAAGTTAGACTTGACCTTTTTTTAAGTTTTAAGTGACTAATGGTTTTAAGTTGATGCAAAAGTTATTTTATTTGGATCGCAGTGGAAATTTAAAGGCACTGATATTCCGCAAAACATTAAATGAATACAGTTACGATTTGAATTGTTACAAATATCAAAACCATTTGTATCAATTTGTAGGATGATTTCACAGGCTACTCTGTATAGTCATTTTGTCTTTGCTGTACTGTAACTACCTGTGTTTGTCTGAACATTTTGTCTTTTATATTTTTGTAGTGATCTATATTAAGAACATATCCTCAGTAGGTAATTCTGTTAAGTTTGAGTAAAAGCATGTTAATAAAAATGAGACTTAAAGTTTGACTTGATTTGTGTATTCTGACTGCAACATGGAATATGACACAAACGCTACTCAGATGTTCTTATGGCTTGATAAAGAGTCTATGTGTAGTCTAATCTGAGTCAATGTAATGAAGAAAACATCTGTCCCAACTTGGATTCATCTTGCAAAGTTATTGACCAAATTGTGTTGGGATTTGGGCTTGATTTTATTGGGGAACTTGATTCCAATTTATGGCTTTAGACGTGTTTAGGTAGGGTTAAACATCTATACAAATTTCGTAACTTAATTTTAAATGTAATTTAGTGTCTATAACTTAACTCCACTAGATGGCAGTGTTCTTCAGCAGTAGTTGCATCTCTTAACATCCTTGCGTCTGTAATTTTTCATTATGGTTGGGTGGAGGAGATGGTAAAAGTATCACATATCAGTCATATCAGAAATAAAATTGAAATATTTTACTATATTTTTTTCTAGTCTTTACTTTTGTGACTGCCCCAATGATCAGCGACAAAATAACAAATTAGTAAAAAATATCATTCCGCTATGAAGTGGTGAGATCATCAATGCTCTGCAGAGGTAGACTGCCTGCTTGGTTTGGGTTCCACCTATGTTACAATGTGTAACAAATCTGTTATGATCTTTGGAGACCTGGTTTTTGTGAAAGCAGACGGCCAGCAACCCCAAAGATCAAACAAATGAATTTAAAAGAATGTATATACTTGTAAATTGTTGGAATGAAATAGTTTGTGTTAAATCTACATTCACAACCTTACGGTGTTCATGTGATTGTATGTGTACAGACTTTCTGTCATGCTAATTTATTTGAAGATTTCTGACAATTGTTTTTTAACTGACTACAGCAGAGTTAATGAAACGTATAACAAAGTGCCCATGTGTTTTTGTGCTTTATGCCACGTGTTTAAATAATTGTGGTGGGATTTTGTAAGGACTGGCTGGAATGGTGGGTATTTAAGACAATTACCAAAAGGAATTCACTCTTAAGAACTCACTGATAAACATTTCCTATACGTTTTGTGTACACTTGTTATTCCACACACATCAAGTTTACATTTAGAGCAAGATGTATTTATCGCTATTCTGTAATAAGACATATTTTTTCAGTTTTTCACCACCTCATAAGCTTGTATATCCCCATTCACTCCACATATCAATGAATACTGTCTATGTCAATAGCTCTGAGCAAAGTATTATTACACAGCTCTTAATGTGTACACAACTTGGGTAAAGGTGTTAGGTTTAGGCACTAAGGGTTATGTCTAGGCTATAGGGGTTAATTAAATGCATTAGGGGTTAGGTTTAGGCATTAGGGTTATGTCTAGGCTATAGGGGTTAATTAAAGGCATTAGGGGTTAGGTTTAGGCATTAGGGTTATGTCTAGGCAATAGGGGTTAATTAAAGGCATTAGGGGTTAGGTTTAGGCATTAGGGTTAGGATGAATTGAAAGTCAAAGTTCATGTGACAATCTCTGACATCTTGACAACATGGAACTTAATGTATGACACACACACACACACACACGTCCTTGTCATTTATGTGTTATGGGTTCTTTGTGTCACTGGATTATATTTGTAGCTCTCCTTTTCACTTAGAAGCAACACACTACAGGACAAGTGTTGTGAACACGAATTAGTCATGAGTTTCTACTAGAATGCTACTTTTATTAGTGTACAGTAAGGATGAACAGAGGACACAGACACTTTTGATAGTGTACACAGACCTGTAACCCCGATAGGGGCATTAAACCACATCAGTACAATCTGTCCTTAGATTTACTCCACTAATACACATTTCAGAGTCATGTTTCTGCCAATCACAAAGCGTCCAATTACTGACACATTTTCTAACTATGTCGGTACATACAATGTCAGGTAGCATCAGCTGCTCAGCCTGTAACACAACCAGGGGGTCCTTATACTATATATATATATAAACTGTCAGGTAGCATCAGCTGCTCAGCCTGTAACACAACCAGGGGGTCCTTATACTATATATATATATAAACAGTCAGGTAACATCAGCTGCTCAGCCTGTAACACTACCAGGGGGTCCTTATACTATATATATATATATATATAAACAGTCAGGTAACATCAGCTGCTCAGCCTGTAACACAACCAGGGGTCCTTATACTATATATATATATATATATATATATATATATATATATAAACTGTCAGGTAGCATCAGCTGCTCAGCCTGTAACACAACCAGGGGGTCCTTATACTATATATATATATAAAAACTGTCAGGTAGCATCAGCTGCTCAGCCTGTAACACAACCAGGGGGTCCTTATACTATATATATATAAACTGTCAGGTAGCATCAGCTGCTCAGCCTGTAACACAACCAGGGGGTCCTTATACTATATATATATAAACTGTCAGGTAGCATCAGCTGCTCAGCCAGTAACACAACCAGGGGGTCCTTATACTATATATATATAAACTGACAGGCAACATCAGCTGCTCAGCCAGTAACACAACCAGGGGGTCCTTATACTATATATATATATATATATAAACTGTCAGGTAGCATCAGCTGCTCAGCCTGTAACACAACCAGGGGGTCCTTATACTATATATATATATAAACAGTCAGGTAACATCAGCTGCTCAGCCTGTAACACTACCAGGGGGTCCTTATACTATATATATATATATATATAAACTGTCAGGTAGCATCAGCTGCTCAGCCTGTAACACAACCAGGGGTCCTTATACTATATATATATATATATAAAAACTGTCAGGTAGCATCAGCTGCTCAGCCTGTAACACAACCAGGGGGTCCTTATACTATATATATATAAACTGTCAGGTAGCATCAGCTGCTCAGCCAGTAACACAACCAGGGGGTCCTTATACTATATATATATATATATATAAACTGTCAGGTAACATCAGCTGCTCAGCCTGTAACACAACCAGGGGTCCTTATACTATATATATATAAACTGACAGGCAACATCAGCTGCTCAGCCAGTAACACAACCAGGGGTCCTTATACTATATATATATATATAAAAACTGTCAGGTAGCATCAGCTGCTCAGCCTGTAACACAACCAGGGGGTCCTTATACTATATATATATAAACTGTCAGGTAGCATCAGCTGCTCAGCCAGTAACACAACCAGGGGGTCCTTATACTATATATATATAAACTGACAGGCAACATCAGCTGCTCAGCCAACACATCCAGTAGGCCCCAGGAGGGTTCTGCCACATGTTCCTAGGGCCGATCGGTCCCACAGCGTGGCCAGCAGACACAGGTTCTCCTTAATGGAAGACAAGGCACAGAGAAAGGTTAGACACCCTAGTTCCCTACGTCCCCGGCCCAATAGTAAAGCAGTATATTCAGTGTCTCTATGGCAACTATTACCAATGTCTTTTTCCAATGTTTCTATGGCAACTATTGCTAATGTATTTTTTATTGTAATACTACTCAGCTCTAGCAGGATTATCTAGGACATGGATCTCAGATTGGGTTAGGATTAGGGTTACGCTAACCTTAACCCTAACCCTAATGTATATCTAGGCCATGGATCTCAGATTGTTGGTTTGTGTTTGTATCATTGTGTGTTTGTATCATTGTGTGTTTGTATCATTGTGTGTTTGTATCTTTGTGTGTTTGTTTAATTGTGTGTTTGTTTGATTGTGTTTGTTTCATTTTGTGTTTGTTTGATTGTGTGTTTGTATCATTGTGTGTTTGTATCATTGTGTGTTTGTATCATTGTGTGTTTGTATCATTGTGTGTTTGTATCATTGTGTGTTTGTATCATTGTGTGTTTGTATCATTGTGTGTTTGTATCATTGTGTGTTTGTATCATTGTGTGTTTGTATCATTGTGTGTTTGTATCATTGTGTGTTTGTTTGATTGTGTGTTTGTTTGATTGTGTGTTTGTATCATTGTGTGTTTGTTTCATTGTGTGTTTGTTTCATTGTGTTTTTGTTTCATTGTGTGTTTGTATCATTGTGTGTTTGTATCATTGTGTGTTTGTATCATTGTGTGTTTGTATCATTGTGTGTTTGTATCATTGTGTGTTTGTATCATTGTGTGTTTGTTTCATTGTGTGTTTGTATCATTGTGTGTTTGTATCATTGTGTGTTTGTATCATTGTGTGTTTGTATCATTGTGTGTTTGTATCATTGTGTGTTTGTTTCATTGTGGGTTTGTATCATTGTGTGTTTGTATCATTGTGTGTTTGTATCATTGTGTGTTTGTATCATTGTGTGTTTGTTTCATTGTGTGTTTGTTC